TCCGACGTGTCAAAAGGGAAAACAAAAAACGAGAACGACTGGCGCGCATCTCTGGTTTTTAAAAGAAACAATAGGTGTTGTGTGAAAAAGAAGATACACTGGGCAAAATTACATACTAAACAAGAAAACTAGGAAGACAATATATAACCCCACCCCCACACCAAAAAACCAAAAACCGGGAATAATCATATGAAAAGAAAGGAACATACAGATAATATCCTAAAAAAGTAAGTACATATATGAAAGAAAGAAAACAGGAAGGAATATCATGAAAAAGCGAAACTACGGAACTCTATATAAAAAAAGACATAGGGAAATAATATACTGACAAAAAGAAAAATAGAAGTTTATATGTTTACAGAACATCAAATACGAAGACAATATATGCAAAGACAAATAGGAAATCCATATATGAAAAAAAGCGAAATAACTATGTGAAAAAGGAAAAATAGGAAGATAATACTATTCGAAAGAAAGTAAGTAATATCTGCAAAGAAACGAAACACAGGAAGGATCTGAAAAAACAAAAATAGGGAAATAATCATATCGAATAAAAAGAGAAATACGGGAAATAATATCATGGAAAACAACAACGGAAAATATATGTGAAAAACAAAGAATACGGAAAATACATACCTGTGAAAAAGAAAATCAGGACATAATATATAAAAAAACAAAATAGGCGAAATACATATCTGAAAACAGAGAAATAGGCAATAATATCTGACAAAACAAAAAGGCAATAATCCTGTGAAAACAAAATACGGAAAATCAATGTGAACAAAGACAAATAGGGAAATAATATACTAACAAAAAAAAAATAGGGAAAACATATATGGAAATGGGCGGTATTTAATAAAAGAAACTGTTTACGAAAAATGGCACCGCTGATGACAAGCACATGAACAGGATGCTCGAGATTAACATCACGAAAAGCAAATGAGAACACAAATCAAACCTCTCAGAGCAGGCGGGCGCCGAGGCTTCACTCTGAAAGGGACGAGGCGGACGGACTCGCTCGGGCGGGAGTGCGAGACCCAGCTGAGCAAGAGCGCGACCCCGTCTCTACTAAAACTGGAGGAAATTGCAAAGACTAAAACTACGCAGAAAATACCAAAAAAAACGCCGGCGTATAGTCAGCCTACTTGGGAGGGAGGCGAGTGGGAGGATCGCCTTGAGGTCGAGGTTCGCGGCAGCTGAGCAGAGCGAGACCCGTCTCTGCTAAAAAAAATAAATAAAGAAATGAGCTGGAACAGTAAACTATATCAGAAAAAACGAGCGGGCCGTTAGCTCAGCTACTCGGGAAGGAGGCGCGGCGGGAGGCTCATACGCTCCACAGCTCCGGAGTCGCGCGCTGCGGTGGCGAGGCGGAGGCCGCTGCAGAGCAAGACTCTGTCTCAAAAAAAAAAAAACAAAAAAACGTGACTCTGGGTTTCCTTTCTTCTCGTGCGGCCGGACGTTCGTGTTCGTTCAACGTCTCGATTCAGTACCGGAACGCTTTTTTTTTTTTTGAGACAAGAGTCTCGCTCTGCAGCCCGGGGCCTCGGCCTCGCTCACCGCAGCCTCCGACTCCCGGGACTGAGCGTATGAGCCTCCCGCCTCGGCCTCCCTCCCGAGTAGCTGGGACTATACGGGCCCGGCTCGTTTTTTTTTTTTTTTTCTGCGTAGTTTTAGTTCTTTGGCGAATTTCCTCCAGGTTTTAGGAGAGACGGGGGGTCTCGCTCTTGCTCAGGCCGGCCTCGAACTCCCGGCCTCGAGCGAGCCTCCCGCCTCGGCCTCCCTCCCAGAGTGCCGGGGTGACGGGCGGGAGCCTCCGCGCCCGGCCTGCTCTGATATCTTATTGTGTTTCTCATTTGCTTTTTCGTGACGATGAATCTCGAGCATCCTTTCGTGTGCCTGTCATCAGCCGGTGCCGTTTTCCTGTAACACGTTTATTCAAATACTCTGCCCATTTTTTTCCATATATTATTTCCCTATTTTTGTTTTTTTTTTATATATTATTTTCCTGGTTTTTTTTTCATATATTATTTTCCTGATTTTGTTTTTTCCATGTTATTGCTCTGTTTTTCTTTTTTCATATATTATTTCCCTATTTCTTTTTTTTATACATTATTTCCCTACTTTTCTTTTTTTCCATATATTATTTCCCTATTTTCGTTTTTTTCACATATTCCTTCCCGTTTTTCTTTTCTTTTCACATATTACTTATTTTTTTAACATATTATCTTCCTATTTTTCCTTTTTTGCATATATTATTTCCCTCTTTTTCTTTTCATATATTATTTTCCCATTTTTCTTTTTCATATATTGTCTTCCTATTTTTATTTTTTTAAACATATTATCTTCCTACTTTTCCTTTTTTACCATATATTCCCTATTTCTTTTTTTTCATATATTAGTTCCCTATTTTTGCTTTTTTTTCATATATTACCTACCTGCTTTTCGTTTCATATATTACTTATTTTTTAATATATTATCTTCCTATTTTCCCTTTTTTATATACATTATTTCCCTACTTTTCTTTTTTTCCATATATTATTTCCCTATTTTCGTTTTTTTCATATATTCCTTCCCGTTTTTCTTTTCTTTTCACATATTACTTATTTTTTTAACATATTATCTTCCTATTTTTCCTTTTTTTCATATATTATTTCCCTCTTTTTCTTTTCATATATTGTCTTCCTATTTTTATTTTTTTAAACATATTATCTTCCTATTTTTCCTTTTTTTCCATATATTCCCTATTTCTTCTTTTTCATATATTAGTTCCCTATTTTTGCTTTTTTTCATATATTACCTTCCTGCTTTTCTTTTCATATATTACTTATTTTTTAATATATTATCTTCCTATTTTCCCTTTTTTTTCATATATTATTTCCCTATTTTTCTTTTTTTTTTTCATATATTGTCTTCCTACTTTTCTTTTTCCATGTATAATTTTCCCGTTTATCTTTCTTTTTCACACACACCTATTTTTCTTTTAAAACCAGAAGGCGCGCCATCTTTCTCGTTTTTTTTTTTCCCCCCTTTCTGACACGCCCCGCGCCCGCGTCTTACGCTGCGCCGTCCACGTCGCGGCGCGCTGACGTCACAAGGCGGCGACAACAGCGCCGACGGCGCGTGCGCCGCCATCGCACGTCACACATTTCATGACCACAACCCGCGACGCCGCGCCCATCCCCAGCTCGCGCCACGCGCAGGCGCGGTCTCGCACGTCACTCGCAAGCGCCCGTCGAGCACGTCATCACGCGCAGGCGCCCGTCGCGCGCGTCAGACGTCACGGCCACAGAATCCCACAGACAGACTCGCTCTTCCGCCACCAACACCCGGGGCCGCGCTCGGGCCCGACCACAGCAGGGGACACGGGGTGTGTGTTGCCATGACAACCGCGTCATCCACCCACACCCCCGTCCGTCCGGCCGCAGTGCCTCACGGGGCCGGCGACCTTCCCCCGCGTCGACGCCGACCCCCCGGCGCGCGCGCGCAAAGACCCCTGGGACGCGCAGGGGGCGGGGCGTCCTCCGTGACCCCGCCCCCGCCCGCGCCTCACCTGGCGCCCTCGCCGCGCTCCCCGTGCGTGTTGTAGTTCACCGTCATGACCTTCACGGCGTCCTTGAACACCACGCCGCCCTGGCCCAGGTACTGCAGCGTGCGGCGCACCGGGAAGCGGCCCTTCATGGGCATGGCGGCGGCGGCGGCGCGGGCTGGCGGCCCGACTCCACTTCCGGCGCGCCCGCTGGCCTCCACTTCCGGCGCCCGAGCCCGACTCCACTTCCGGCGCGCCCGCTAGACTCCACTTCCGGAACCCGAGCCTTACTCCACTTCCGGCGCGCCCGCTAGACTCCACTTCCGGCGCGCCCGCTACACTCCACTTTCCGGCGCCCGAGCTTCGCTCAACTTCCGGCGCGCGGCCCGTATTCCACTTCCGGCGCGTACGAACGCTTCAACTTCCCACGCGCAGGCGCGATTCCCATTCCGGCGGCAAAGGTCCATCCCACTTCCGGCGCGCGGGCCCTATTCCACTTCCGGCGCGCGGGCCCCACGGATTCAACTTCCGTCCGGACGTTAGGATTCAGATTTTCCCGCGCCAGAGGAAGTGGACTTTGTGCGGGTCGGAATCATTCCAGTCCCGGGGCGCCGCTGTAGGTCGACTGCCTGCGCGTCGGCTGGATTTACCTTCCGGCGCGCCGGAGCTAGTCGACTCTCTGCGTTTCCGGTATTTCCCACTTCCGGCCCGCCACTGTAACTCGACTCTCCGCCTTTCGGCTGTTTTCCACTTCCGACGCGCCATTGCAACTCGACTTTCTGCTTTTCGGGAGGATTCCAATCCCGGCGCGCCAGAAAAAGCCGACTTCCGGCGCGTCAAGGGGGGGGAGGGCACTCCACTTCCGGCGCGCGAGAATCGAGTCATTTCCGCACTGCAAGACGAGATTCCGCTCTTTGCGCAGGCGCTTTCCCGGCGGGCAGCGCGCGCCGCGGAGCACCCTGGGACTCGTAGTTCTTGCAGGGGAGGCGCCGGCCGAGCCCTGCGCATGCGCCCTGGCCTCTTCAGAAGGACTTTTCCCTGGGAGGTTTGGACGTTCAGCCTCCCGCTCCCCGCGGGAGAATGGGTGTTTTTTTATTTTTATTTATTTTTGAGACAAGAGTCTCGCTCTGTCGCCCGGGCTGGAGTGAGTGGCGTGGCGTCAGCCTCGCTCACAGCAGCCTCCACCTCCTGGCCTCAACCGAGCCTCCCGCCTCGGCCTCCCTCCCGAGTAGCTGGGACTACAGGCATGCGCCTCCACGCCCGGCTCGTTATTTTTCTATTTATTTTTAGTTGGCCAATTAATTTCTTTCTATTTTTAGTAGAGACGGGGTCTCGCTCTTGCTCGGGCTGGTTTCGAACTCCTGACCTCGAGCGAGCCTCCCTCCTCGGCCTCCCAGAGTGCTGGTACGACAAGAATACAACACTTTTCCAGTCTAATTTATATATATATATTTTTTATTATTATTATTATTATTGTTGTCCGGCTAATTTCTTCCTATTTATAGTAGAGACGGGGTCTCACTCTTGCTCAGGCTGGTTTCGAACTCCTGACCTCGAGCGAGCCTCCCTCCCAGAGTGTTGGGATGACAGGCGTGCGCCACCACGCCCGACTCATTTTTTTCTACATAAGTTGGCCAATTAATTTCTTTCTAATTTTAGTAGAGACGGGGTCTCGCTCTTGCTCAGACTGGCCTCGGACTCCTGACCTCGAGCGCAATCCTCCCTCCTCGGCCTCCCAGAGTGCTGGTACGACAAGAATACAACACTTTTCCAGTCTAATTTATATATATATATATATATTTTAAATTTATTATTATTTTTGTCTGGCTGATTTCTTTCTATTTATAGTAGAGACGGGGTCTCGCTGTTGCTCAGTCTGGCCTCCAACTCCTGACCTCGAACGAGCCTCCCGCCTCGGCCTCCCAGAGTGCCGGGGCGACAGGCGTGAGCCTCCGCGCTCGGCCCTGAGACGATTCTCGAGCACCTGAGCCCCCCGCACCCCACCTGACCCAGCTCAAACAAACCCTCCTCGCTACTGAGGCCAAAGGGAGTCCGGGAGGCCAGGGTTCAAATCCTCAGTCCTCCCCTAACTCCAGACCACCCTCTCTTGCTGGGCTTGTCCCTCCACCTGTCCCATCAGGGGACAGGCAGCGGCGGGCCCGGCACAAATGACACCTGGAGCTTCCTCCATGTCTGAGCCTCAGTTTCCACCCGCATGAAATGGGGGTGACAGGATTTTGCACGTTGTTCGTTTAACCGAGGCTGCGAGAATAACTGGGGACAACGCGAGAGCAGGGACCACGGCCTGTCCCCTAGTCGGAGGCCTCAACCAGACAGCGGGGACCGACTTCCGACACTCCCATGTCACCATCAGAAGGAGAAGGAGGCCGGGCGCGGAGGCTCACGGCTGTCATCCCAGCAGTCTTGGAGGAGGCCGAGGCGGGAGGCTCGCTCGAGGTCAGGAGGTGGAGGCCAGCCTGAGCAAGAGCGAGGCCCCGTTTCTACTAAAAAAAAAATTGAAAGAAATGAGCTGGACGACTAAAAATATATAGAAGAAAAAATGAGCCGGGCGTGGAGGCTCACCCATGTAATCACAGCACTCTGGGAGGCCGAGGCGGGAGGTTCGCTCGACATCAGGAGGTGGAGGCCGGCCTGAGCAAGAGCGAGACCCCGTCTCTACTTAAAAAAATAGAAAGAAATTAATTGGCCAACTAAAAATATATAGAAAAAATGAGCCAG